GTTTAGAGAGAAAGGCCTTTTGAAGCATTTCCCATAGACGGTGCCAATTGATGTAGTGCGATCTGGTCACTCCTAACTGGCACTCGCGTGCCTCCTGAGAGGTACCTAAGACGGGAGGAAAGAGGAAGAACTCCTGGGGGGTTTCTCGGCGGGAACGCTCCGATGCTTAAGTCAGTATTGTGTGCAAGAAGCAAAAGGAAAACGAAGGCTAAGAGTGCAGGTTGCGCAGATGATTCGAAGATACCTTGTCCCTTGAGAATAAGCCCCTTATAACTGAATTCCGTTGCTTCAGGCCCTCTGACTTCTGACAGGGCAGGTATAACTGCCACTGTCAGTCTGCCACAGCCGTTACAAGCAAGGCTGAGGTGGCACGCGCGGGGCCGTCTTTGTAGGGTACATGCCTGTCAGGTGCGGAACACGTTTCTAAAGGTGGCAGACGCAGCGCTATTTGGCGAGGGACATGTCTGCTGTCCACAGATTTGTCGGGTACGGTGGTCGAGCAGGAAGCCCTCCTGTGGTATACCGAACTAGCCTCCTGCGAATTACCCTGAGCCGGGCTGTCCTTTGAGTGATGGTCTGCCTGTAGCCAGTTATGCCGAGCTAGCTGATCCGAGGTGTCTATGCCTTGGGGTGTCCAGAGATGGATCGGTGCGTTCTTGCCTGGGAGTGGCCCGAGGTCTATTGGGAGGAGCTTGGGCCTTAAGAGAGGTCAGGGCACCCCGAACTCGGGACGTCCCGAAGTGCCTTAACCCCAAGGAGGAGGTGCGAGTAAGGCGGCTTCCAGTGAGTAGTTTACCTGCCGAGTTGCCGAGCTGGACTCGGTGGGACTTTCCCTCCGAGTTGTGCTCATGTTCGTTGCGTTGTCATGTTGAGTCACTGTTTGAGCAAGGTCACGCCCACATGTACCCGTGCTGCGTGGTCGGGCCAAATCACCCTCCATCAACTTTCAAACCGGGACTCTCACGAGTGGACTCTTTCTTATCTTCATCCAATACTCCCCCTCAAGGTGGTGCATGAGGATTGCGAATGCTCAACTTGGAAAGGAAGGAATCAAATTGTTGTTGTCCTAGGGCCTTGGTGAAAATATCGGCAAGTTGTTCACTGGTACGGACATAGGAAGGTGCAATAGTGCCGGCCTAGAGCTCATTGCGAATGAAATGACAATCAACTTCAATATGGTTGGTCCGCTCATGGAAAACAAGGTTCGTGGCAATGTGCAGAGCAGCCTGATTATCACAAAACAGGCGTATAGGTTGAGGATGAGAGATACCCAAAGATGATAGCAGACCTTTTAGCCACTTCAACTCACAACTAGCAGTAGCCATTGACCAGTATTCAGTCTCGGCAGAGGAACGAGAGACAGTATGTTGTTTCTTGGTTTTCCAGGAGATGTGGGAATGTCAGAACATGATAAAATACCCAGTAAGATAGCGACGAGTGAGAGGGCAACTCGCCCAGTCGGAATCACAGTAGGCATATAATTGCATATCACTATCAGTGTGCAAAAATATTCCTTGACCAGGACATCCTTTCAGATAACGAACCACACGTAAGGCCGCATCCCAATGATCAACTCGAGGACTCTGCATAAATTGAGCTAGGACATGGACGCAATAACTAAGCTCTGGCCGTGTAATGGTTAAATAAATCAAACGGCTCACAAGACGTCGATACCGTTCTGGGTCATCCAAGAGCTTGCCGTCGGCAAGGACAAGTTTATGATTCTGAGTAATAGGAAGGTGAGCAGGTTTGGATCCCAATAAGCCAGTTTCTGTAATAATATCAAGTGCATATTTTCTTTGGCAAAGAAATATCCCCGATGATCTGCGAGTCACTTGGATGCCCAAAAAATATTTAAGAACACCCAAGTCCTTCATGCGAAAACACCGGTTCATATACTGTTTAAATTTGCGTATGAACTCTGGGTTATTCCCACTAACGATTAAGTTATCAACATAAACCAGGACGCGCAAGACAACACCATTCTTGTGATATGTAAATAAGGAATAATCGAAATAGGACTGTTTAAACCCAAAAGTTTTCAAGGCAGCACCTAACTTAGAGAACCAGTTCCAGGGGGCTTGCCGTAGACCATACAACGATTTCCGTAGTTTGCACACCTTTCCAGTTCCGGAGGCCGAAAAACTTGGAGGAGGTTTCATATAGACCTCCTCATGGAGATCACCATGCAGAAAAGCATTGTGGACATCCATCTGATGCAATTCCCAATGTTGGGCCACAACAATTGCTAAGAAGGTTCGAACTGTGACCATTTTAGCCACAGGGGCAAAGGTCTCGCTGTAATCAAGACCTTCAACTTGAGTGTTGCCCAGGACTACCAACCGTGCTTTAAATCTTTCAATGGATCCGTCAGAGTTGTACTTGATTTTGTAGACCCATTTACACCCGATTGCCTTTTTTCCAAGTGGGAGATCTTCCAAGGTCCATGTCCCATTGTCTTCCAAAGCCTGTATCTCTTGGCGCATAGCCTCGCATCACCGAGCATTAGTCAATGCCTCAGAGAAACGAGTAGGTTCTCAGCCTACAGTAACGACTACCAAGAAATGTCTGTGTTTCACAAAAAAATTATCATACGTCATATAATGAGTTATGGGGTAAGGAGTACCTGAGGACTGAGATGATGTAGGAGAAACAACAGAGGGGTCTAAGAGACAAGCTGAGTGTGTGACAAAGTCCTGTAAATAGCTGGGGGTCCACTTTTCTCGATGTCCGTGAAGGGATGAAAGATCCATCGTATGGACGCCCAAATCTTGCGGAATAAGGTGAGCGAATTTCAAAAATTTTTCTCTCCCTTTCAACTGGGAATCGAATTCCCTATTTAGAAAATCATAGTTTTAAGGATCAATCTTGAACACTAAACTGAACCAGATTTGAACAAAAACAGTAGGAGAGAATTATACCTGATACAGAGAAGTAATATCTCCCAATGGAGGTGTTCACGCCCAAGGAAGGATCCAAAAACTGCTCCCATTGAAGATGGCACAGTGCAGGATGGAGCAGAATCAACAGTGTTCTTCTCCAAGAACCTATTCCTTCGCAAGAAACARTAGGATGGCAYGTGAGCACAGCTTCCTATCAGTCCTTTCACAAAGAACTGATATCAAGATCAAATCTTGACTTCTCCCACAAATGGAGATCAAACTGGCAAGGTAGGCGGCAAGAAAGAAGTATGCAAGGTCGCTTAATTCTTCCTTCTGTGTTTTCAGCTCTGAAGAGGATGTGAGTATGTATCTTTAAAGGCTACCGCCCCTTCCTTCTTTTTTAACCCTAAAGAATTAGCTCCTAATCCAATTAGGAGTTGCTGATCCAAATCATATTTGGATCAGACATCCCTTTAGGTGATAAGGATAAACCCTTATCTCATCTCCAGATTAGATCAGCCTTCTCCTAATCTCATAAGGAGGTTTCCACAAATCGCATGATCCAATTCCATCTGTCTTGTAAGTTCGAACCGGCGCCACACCCTTGAAGACATAGACCCCATCAAGCTGTTCACCCACACTAATCAGAGTCCTCGAGATGCGGTCCTGTATCACACACAACTTATTAGTAAACGTCACAATATAATATGTGTCACGAAGTAACTGACCTACTGACAACAAATTACTATTGAGTTTTGGGACATATAATACATGCAACAATTTAAAATTATTTCCAAGTTCAACGGTGCCTTCTTTCACAGCCTCGGTGTGCGCACCGTTGGGTAACCTAACAGGACAAGGTGCAACATCATAGGTGTCGACGAGCACATTTAAATTCCCTGTCATGTGATGTGACGCCCCAGAGTCTACAATCCATTTAGTGGAGTAAGTCTTACCAGAGAGTTTTTCATTAGTCCTGGTTTGTAAGCATCAAGCATGCTTACAAGAGTCTACCATTGCTCGTCATTAAGCCCATTTAGTCCGGTCCTATCTCTGTTAGTTACGGCTGCATTAGCAGCCACCTCATGCCCTGCCGATGACTGAGCAGCATGAGTTTTTGCTGAACCTCGGTCACGTCTGCCAGAGGGTCCACCCCCTTTTCCTCAACCTGCTCCATGCCCGATCGACGTACCGCGGGGTCTGTCTCCCCACCATTCAGACTTACTTGAGCTCTCCCCATTCCTTTCGTTATTGGCAGCCATGGTGACCGATCAGCAAGACTTGTTAGCAATAATATCGAGAAGAAACAGTGAGAAACACGATAGTCTTTGATTATCGTATGAACCGTCGACTGAAAAGAACAAACTTGGAGCTTCAACTGCTGATGCTGTTGCGCACTGTTCCGATCCTTCGAAAAAGGAATGGGAATAACCGAAGAACTCTGCGTTTCTGCCTGAGTGCAGAGTGCCTGCCTGACTACGATAGATGAAGAACTCGGCGTTTCTCAATCTCTCGCGCCCTTCCTCTTAATGGTCATGATCTCGTTGCCTAGAATTCGTCCCCACCGGTGGCTCAGTCTGGGCTCTGGAGGGTTAAAAAATAAAAACTGGAATTTGTTCTTCAACACACTGTTCTGGAACTTGAATTTCTGGGATAACGCAAGCACCTTAGCCAGAGAAGTCGATCGACCCCAGCAGACATTCCCGAAGGCCCTCTTCTCGGTTGGCTTCCTCACTGTTTTGTGCTACTTGCTCCCTCTCATATCCGCAACGGGTGCTCTCCCTTTAGAAAAATCTAGTTGGGCTGATGGGTTTTTTGGTCGACGCTGCGGGGATGATCATCGGAAAGTGGTTGAAGTTCTGGGTCGAAATTGGCATTGTCCTATCTGCGATAGGACTCTTTGAAGTCCAATTGAGCAGCTCCTCTTTCTAGTTTCTGGGAATGGGTGACCTCGGTTTCTTGCCCCGATTCTGCACAGCCCGATCAACTTGGTTCAATACGCCCTGGGTCGGTATCTTGGTCTCACGCTTGGAGTATCGTTCATGGACTTCACCAATATAATAGCGTCGGCGAATTTCCTGTACAGTTTGGGGATGCTACTGGAGATAGCATCCTTGGATGAGACGGAAGTATCCAACACTAAAGAGGCCGTATAAGGTTCCGGGAGGGATGCTGGTGATGGGTTTGCCTCTGGTTTCGTTCGAGCAGGGAGAGAAGAGGAATAGTAGCTTCACTGCCGCTGGTTCCGCTCGAACAGGGAGAGAAGAGGAACAGTTTTTTTTTTTTTTTTTTTTTTTTCTGTTTCTGCATAAAACCATCGCAGAGTCGCAGACCAGATAGCGGACAACAAGCAGACTGCATGGAAATCAATAGGAGGGAAGGCTCCACGAAAGCAGCTGGCAACTAAGGTGGCTCGGAAGTTGGCACCGGCGACCGGAGGAGTGGAGAAGCCTCACAGGTTCAGGCCTGGAACCGTTGCTCTTCGTGAGATCAGGAAGTACCAGAAGAGCACGGAGCCCTTGATCCGAAAGTTACCCTTTCAGCGTCTCGTCCGTGAGATCGCTCAGGACTTCAAAACAGATCTGCATTTCCAGAGCAGCGCCATCGCTGCTCTTCAAGAAGCCGCCGAGGCCTACTTGGTGGGTCTCTTCGAACACACCAGGCTCTGATACCATGAGAAAAAACATTGGAAGCTCCAAAACGATGATCCTTTCCATTGAACCTTATGGTATTTATATACATACGGCAGAGGGGCTCCTTGCTCCCCAAGACTTTCTAAAACAAAGTTTCCTAATCCAGAAAGGAAAGAGACTTCCTATACAGATTAGTACAGGTATAGATGACTTTCAAACCGGGACTCTCGCGAGTGGACTCTTTCTTATCTTCATCCAATAAATTAACCAAATTTCTTTTAATGATGTACATGTCTGTTGGCCCATTCAAAATTTCACCAGTTATGGGCAGAAGTCAAATGACTCTCCAATGTTTGGATTTCTCTTTAGGCTGCATTTGGTTGTAATACAAATAAATTTGCACTGAAGCAAAACTAAGGTAGTGCAAACGATTCGAATTCTTACCTATTTTTGTTTCAAATTTTAGCTTAATTTGTTTGATTGCAGTACGAATTAAGTAAATTAAGACATGAAGCAGAATAAAATAAAACCCAAAACAAAATTAAACGAGAATTTGCATTTTCTTCATTTGCATCATGTACTCACACGCCACTAAAGGATCTCATATTTCTTAGTGTAAGGAGCTGGAATCATATAAACCATCACCCAAATACTTGGCAGAGAGGAATATGCCAGTTAGAGTTACGACAGTGGGTTAAGCCTTCTACTTCACATATCATTCTCATGTATGAGTTTGCAGGTACAGATGGGATTGATCCCATGTCCTTGTGTATTAGTGTTCTCATTTTTTAAAAAATTATACCCATCTAACAGAAATAGAGGAACTACGGCATGATAAACGTGTTCACAGTAGAAATTCAAATCAGAATGGAGGCCAAGTTATCCTCATCCCAGGAATCATCATATGGCATACGTGCTGATCAGAGGCTAAGAGCCACCACTTGGTGCCATGTTCATAATATAAAGCAAGACTCGACTGCAGGGGACCACCCAGAATGCAAAATGCAGGGTTGCTGGCATAACAATGGAGAAAATCTGTGCAAAAAACTAACCATCATTAGCTTAGTTGAACATACATATTATTTATTCCCCAACGTGAATTTGAGGAAGGATAGTCCCATGGAAATGTCATGTTTGGCAAACAGACAGCCCGGGTCATTTTACTTCTTTGGGTAGCCTTACTAAGATTTACATTGAGCTAGTAGAATGATGTTTGTATTTCCTACGAATTTCAGATCTGGTGGTGGGCTTTGTAGAGGTGGAGGGGTTTGAAGTGATTAGGAGTGAAAAATAGTAGAAAAGCAACTAGAAAGCTTGCTGTCCACCAAGGAATGGGAGTAAGACATTAGAAGAGAAAAGAACTTTGGATGTTATTGTTGTTAGGAGTTGTATATATAGGTGGCAGGACATAAATGTGATTCTTTCTTTATGTTACTTAAGTAGGGGCAGTTTAATCAATGTACATCACATTATACTACTAAATAAAGATGGGCAGTGGTTAGGAGATAAGTTTTGTTTGATCTCCTCTGATTTTAGCCCTGTTTTTTTATTCTCCCTTTCTGATTTGCCTATTCTCTACTTGTTCTTTCAACCTGCTTTGATTTCATACCTTTTTTCTTCTTATTTTCTCTTGTTCTGAGGTTTATTACAGGCTGGTTACATGATATCAGAGCACCATTAATCACATGGATAGGTTTTAGTTATTCTTCAACCTTGCACATAGGATACTCTTACTTCTACAAACAGAGGAATCACCAATTGACTTTCTGGACCGATCACATCATGGAAGGAAGATTTGAGAACCCTCTATTTGACAGTTCGAAGAGGGGCAGTTTGAAGTATGTTTCAGGTAAGTTACTTTAGCAGTTGAGTGTTCTATATGTTTCTGTATTTGGATGATAGAATAAAGTGTGAAAACATGAGATTTGTTAAGTTTATGACCTTATTTGTTCTACCTGGACTTCACCATTGGGAAAAAATCATAACCAAGTCCTACCTTGTAAACGTATGAAATCTTGAGTCATTTATAAATCATAACCAGATTTTCAATGATTTGCTAAACTCCCCACATGCAATCAATACTACCTAAGCTTAACCAATGATGAAAAGAGTCATAGAAACATTCAAATGTATATATGTAAGAATACACACGAAACAACAGATAATTGAAACCTTAAGGAAAAAAAATAGGTGGGAGTTCTACAAGAGATGCTACTATATGACACTTGCCTGTGTGCTGTGTTACTTCAAAAGTAATCCCTAAACTTCAAGTTTCTCATTGGCAGTATTAACAAAAAAGGGTGAATTTTCTAAAAGAAAACAAAATTGATGATTGAAGTATGAATACCTCAATGTCTTCATCAGGAGTTCTTTTGGATTGGTGTTGAGCAGTTGGTCCAATGAGAAGAAAACTTAGGAGCTTCAAGACATGGACCAACTGAAGCAAGCAAAATAGAGGTTCATATTGAATATGCAATGATTGGACAACACAGGCAATAATTGGCAGCTCATAGTATTGTAGAAGCAAAATAGACACCTGAAAAGATGAAAAGATTCTTTTGATCAATGGTTGGACAAATTAGTTAGTACATAGCGACCAATGAACCTTCTAACAAATGTTTATTGTGGCAGAAGCTTTGCAAGTTGAAGAGAAATAATTGGAAAGGAAAACAAAACTACTGGGACTTCACGCTTAGCAGCTTTCCCATAGCATTAAAACAAAATTTTCTTATGTCTTTTTATATTTCCTAATTGATTTTAATAAATCACTAACAACCAAGCTACTAAAACAGTAAAAGTTGAATTCAAATCTCTTCATATGTAGGGCAATATGTATGATGTTTCACAAAATGGTATTACTATTATTTATTTGTAAAAAAAGAACAACGTATGATCTACCAAGCAGTTTGACAAGAAGGTGACAACACCTTCAAAAATGGCATGTATGCTATAGAGAATGATCAAGGCAAAAAGACATTGAAATCCATAGATGCATCAGTCAAGAACAGATGTTTAGTAGATCTACTTACATAGGATCCATGGACAGGAGGAGGCTTGAGGTAAAAAATAATGCACAAACAAGAAATTCTAGCAAAAAAACTTGCAAAAAAGTCCTAAAACTGCTAAATAGGTTGGTTTTACCAGCATCAATGTCAAATGCAGGCAACGAAAATCAATAATAATATCTAGCTGATAAAGAGGATACGATCAAGACTTTTAACAAAGTAAAAGAAAAATATGGATAAGCACAAATTAGAAAACTTAGTAACAAAAATCTCGTCCTCTCAAATCAATTCCCAATTTATCAGTTTACAAATTAATATATCATTGATGAAGTACAAATATATAGACACATGTGAATAAATAAAAATCAGGAAAATAAAACATAGAAACCCTAACCTTGTAAAGGAAGAGATGGAAAAGAAGTATAAAAAGAAAACCCCACTTTCTTTGAGCTCTAGAGTGAAGGCTCTAATTGTTGAAGATAAAAGATGATGGCTTTGAAGTTCTCTCTTATTCATCTTTCTAAAATTTTTTATTAAAAAATCTAAAAAAATTGTCCAACTGCAATGGAGCTCGACTGAGAAAGTGACGCCGATGGTGAAAGCTCAACCGAAAGAGAGTGAAATGAGAGAGGAGAGAGAGAGATAAAAGGAGGAAGGGAAGAGGAAAAATGCAAGAAAGATAAGAGGAAGAGGCGTGGGGCAGGAAAAACCCATCTCAATTTGTGTGTCTATCATGTAGCGGCGGTTAATTTAGTCTTTAGCGGCAGCTTTAATTGACCGCCACTAAAGACCCTTATTTCTAGCGGCAGCCCTCTTTCTGTCGGTTCAAAAACTGCCGCTAAAAGGGAGATTTTTTGTAGTGTTATAACGTTTCCTGGAATTTTATACTAATATTCTTAATTGCAATGAAGTTTGGACGATGCAGTCTTTCATAAATTGTAAGATTATATTTCTGTTACTTAAAAAAATCGCCAATACAACAACAACACACACACACACTAAAATCTTAAAAGTTCATTTGGGAAATTTAAAACCAATAAGAGAGGGGAAATGACAAAGTAAAGAAATAGTCCTAGCTTAATTTATTTGAATTGGATGGCTTGTAAATTTCATAAATCAAATTATAAGATGCACACTAATGATAACATTTTTTCGAAAACAACTTAATCTTAAAATTTGAATTGTGAATGATGAATCCTATTGTAAATATTAAGATTTCTCGAACATTTGTCCTGAACATTTAAGAATGTGAATGTCTTTATATCCTTTACATGATTTCTTTATAGATCCCTATCGTGCAGGTCTTTCAAGATTCCTTTTACTTGTTTTATCCATTCACTTATAGTTGCATCAAGTCCTTAGCTTTAACATCCATTTTATTTCTTGCTATTAGTTTGGTGTAAAATACTTGATGTTGAAATATGCTACAATTTCTGTGGAGAAAATATAAAACATTCATGCATATTCACTACTACACTGCTGGTTGTAATGCATTATCTATGATTTCATAACTTTGATACTAACTTAACTATATTAGCCATCAATCATGAAGCTAAAAATCGTGTAAAAAAGCTTCCACATCGTTGAAAAGTAATGAAATAGTAATTTGCATTCTTACCCTCAAGAGAAGCAATGAGAGATTGCTTTTATACACTCCAGGGGAAATTAAACCAGAGCTAGCCTATATGTAAAATGACTACATTGCATTCTTTGGCTTTAGGACTGTAATAAACAAGCACTTGGAACTGTTCATTTTAATTCCACACTAAAGTAAATAATTGGCTCCCTAGAGTAATTGTAGTTGTTCTGTCACCCATGACTGTTTTATAGTATTTGTTCAAGCTCCAACATAACCATGTCCATCTTGGGTCACCCTTTTCCAACTATATTCATGCATTGAAATGACAACCTTGTCAAATTCTTCATTCCCACTAAAGTGAAACAACTGACTAGCCGATAGTCCACAAAATTGTTTGAATGTAGATATGATTTTACCTTCACAAAGAGGGCGCTTAAATAATGAAGCAGAGA